TAATAATATTGGACACCTGTAATAAGAAAAATCTATTTACTCTGAATCCCAGAAAAAGTCACCCCCGAAATATAGTAGGAACTGATATTAAATTACAAACAAATCCTGGCCAACCCAGACCACTCCCCCCCTCGGGATAAGATACCTTACGCCTCCACCAATCGATAACAAAAACCCACTCTCATTAACAAGGCTCTACGGGAGTAGCACTGACATTAAAAATAAATTTAAAACAATGCTCCGAGACAAACACTTTGAGACTGATGATAGCCGTATACAGAACGGCTTGAAATAAACTATGTCTATAATGACATCATACCAACTGTTCTAATCTCTTCGTCATCGAGACACAGTGGAACAGTTGGTATGATGTTTATTTTTTAAATTAACTGTCAGGGTTTCAATTCTCAAAAAATGTATAATATTGCGGATGAGTCCCAAATATAGGAAGAAACGGTCGTCCAGTGCTTTCTGCATTTTGTTGAGGTTTCTATCTGACTCGATGAATTAATTAATGTAATTATCAAATCCTCCTAATAGTTACTATATATATATGTGTGTCTGCGTGTGTGTGTGAACATCTTCGGAAAAGAGATTTCTCAGACTGTGTTAAAGAGTCGGATAGGGACATTATTATTATTATTTAGTTGAATAGAACGAACGACCAGTTAAATGCAATTATTGTGGCGCGCTTCTGCAAAGCAGTTTGGCGCCAAAATCCAATCAGATCAATATAGAAATAATCGATTAAGCGAAGGATATAATCATTAAGAAAGGACTATCAGTAATATTGTCACAAATTGAATCTTTTTTAAAAGCAAATCGAATATTTCGTCTGTTGTGTCGGGTGTTGGAGATGCAGTGGTTTTGTCTACATATTTACAGTCTGAGAAAAAAAAAAGGAATAAAAATAGCTGAATATTTATTTTGTAATGACATTTATTTTAGGACATTGCTTGAAGTGGGGATATTTCGGAAGAGTCGACTGGATCGAGGAGATAAAAGGTCAGACAAAGTTATGATTAATGTTTCTTTGATATCGATTCTATGTGAGAGAAGTCGACAGTCAGCATCCCACACATTGATTGAATTGTCTAGACTGACCGTCAGATCGCTTTGTTGATTCTTTTAAAAGTAGTTATTCTCGAACCGCCGATAAAATGGATTTAAACAATTTTGCCCAGGTCGACGAATAAAAAAACAAACAAAAAAAAAGCTTTGAGAACAACTGTGGCTAATTTTTTTTGGGGATCACATTCGTTTGTTATCTGCGAAAAAATGCTAATCGATGTTATTTTTTTTATTTAATGTCAGTATTCTACTTCAATTTAATAATATTTTATTTGTGACCTAACTAATCCCATTGGTTGAAAAAGATTCTAATACATTTACTACGTAACAGTACTGCTATCGACAAAATCTGTAAAAAAAACGTGGATCAGAGAGCCTTGATATTTATCTGATTTTTCATTGGTCAATTAATGCTAATATCATGCGTTCGTCTACCAAAAATCTGTCTATATATTTCGAGCCTATCACGTGACATACAACATTATAAATACCAAGCGACATTTTCAACTCTTCTTCTATTTTACATTCTCTCACACACAAGATGTAACGTCAGAGAGATTACGTTTGTCCCTTAAGGGCAAACGCTATGAAACATTCATATACACACATGTTCACACGTACGTACACACATCTCCGACATCTATTAATTCTTTCACTTACAAACAACAGGAACTTATTCACCTTCTAATAGAGAGATTATCTTCAGCACTCAACAAGTGTACAACACCTTCTGATATATATATATATATATATATATATATATATATATTCATAACAACCTTCTCCTCCACAATAGATTGACTGATTATTCATTTGATACAAAAATTGTTTTATAATTTCCAAATATTTAAAAAGAAATGGTTTTATTTATTTTCACTGTAACCGGATATTGTTTGGCAGAAAGAATTATTCTCTATTTTCCCCGTTATGGGCATTATCATATCGCTGATAAAAAATCATAATTCACGGACGGAACGTATATATATATGTAATATATTATATATATTATTATTTATATATTATATGCGCGGTAACCAGTTACATATACACAGTCATAAAAAACAAGCAAATAACCGGCTTTAAAATAATAACAAATTAGCCTTAAAAAAATTAAAAATAATAGCAATTTTAACCTATCATAATTTAACACAAAACCCACCACACGTATATACGTGCATGCGAGGAAATATTATTCAGCGAAAAAAAATAAAAATCGTCTGATTGCTGACATGTATACATTCACGAGACATTCACGAAAAATTTTTGCTACACTTCCGATCTTTTGAATTTCAACATACAAAATGCGTATATATATAGACAACAAAACACATATACATACATATGTCAAATCCCATACTGACCACATATGTTTATATCTGTATGAGCCCCGGCGGACGAGCGAGTGTGTGTGTGTGTCTGCGTACCTCAA